ATCACGTACCCTTACTTCCTCGTTCGTGTGGCATTACTGTGTGCGGTACTCTCTCTCTGTGTGTGTGTGTGTGTGTGTGTGTGTGTGTGTGTGTGTGTATGTGTCCACCGATCCAGCTTCCACCTTGAGCCCAAGGAAGACAAAGGATAAGAAGAAGAAGAGGAAGAGGTGGAGATGTAAGTGGAGGATGCCAGAGAGAAGTTGGAGAAGACGGCAATGAAGTGGGGAGCGTTATCAATTTTTGAAAATGACATGAAAGCTATGTTGAAAAAAAAAAAAAAAGAATGTAGTCGTCATTGTGAGCAGGTTCAGTCATCGATAATGGTCTTCTTGGTCTGAGTACTCCCCCCAAGAAGTAGGTGTGATTTCCTCGAATGCAACGCATTCCTAGCCACAAAGCATGCATCAGACTTCAGTCCTGCGCTCGATACACAATCGACGTTCTATTCGAGAGAAGGCGAGTCGATGAAGAGGGCAGTGGAGCTCTGCTGTAGGAGGAAGGGGGAGGAGTGCATGTGACGAGGAGGTGGCAGGTTGGGAGAACTGACCAGTCAATTCCAATCGCAACCTCCTCAGGGCAACCGGACCAACCGTGCTACCGGACCAAAATGGCTGAGGGGCCAGCCAAAAGAGAAAAAAACAAAAAAAGCGCCGCGCTGATGTTTTGGCAAAGCTTGTCATGTAGGGGGTAGGTAGTGGTGGTTTCAGCCAGAGGGAGACTGGTGGTGGACCACTCGTCGCCACTACCGTCTTCCCCCGAACACAACGCACCCTCATTTTGGTTGTATTTGGCCGGAAATATAACTTGTATACATTCATTTTAAGGGTGCGTTATGTGCGGGGGAAGATGGTAGCAGTTTCCGATTACGGGTAGGTTCAAGCACAGAAGGCAGCGGTTAAAAAAAAAAAAAAAAAAAAAAAACACACTACCTTTCTCAGCTATTGATGCCTAGCCTGAAATCGCCCTGCGCGGGCCTCATTTTGGCTGGCTCCACCAGCCATTTCCGATCTGGTAGTAACCGAACTGCCCTTGGCTCCCGAATATAACGGCGCGTATTTGATTTTTTCAAGCGGGGAAACGTACTGGTGGTTTAAACCACCAGTACCTAGCGGTTGTTAAGGCCCGTGGCTCAGCCTACCGGTAACGTGAACCTTGCCGAGCCTAGAGCTACCGGTAGGTACCCAAAAAAAGGAAAAAAAAAAGAAAAAGAAAAAAAACGACAATTCTTCTGCCCAAAAAAATCAAGAAATAAAAAAACCAAGAAAGCCGTTTTGCAAGCGGGGAGGGAGGGAGAGAGAGAGAGAGAGAGAGAGAGAGAGAGAGAGAGAGAGAGAGAGAGAGAGAGAGAGNGGGAGAGAGAGAGAGAGAGAGAGAGAGAGAGAGAGAGAGAGAGAGAGAGAGAGAGAGAGAGAGAGAGAGAGAGAGAATGAATCTTACAGCTTTCAGGCGGAAGATTCATTTGTAATTCGCTGCAGTCCATCGCACAAAGAGAGAGGGAGAGAGAGAGAGAGAGAGAGAGTCTCGACGAGTTTGGTGCAGGGGCACCGGGCCTCTCTCTCTCTCTCTCTCTGCCTGTGTCTGTGTTTTTTTTCTCTTTCTTTCAGCCCCCGCCCTGCCGTGCCCGTTTTCTCCGGTTGCTTTTCATTTGATTTTACATTTCTGAAAATGGATTGCTTTTTTCCTTTTTTTCGTTTTTTCTTTTTTTCTTATTTCGCTATCCTACCGGTCGGCCACTCCCCGACCCCTGTCCGATGCGGCGCGTTGACGGACGCGTCGGAAATTTTTGGCTGGGCGAGGTACTGGTGGTTTAAGCCAGAGGGAGATTGGTGGACCACACGTCACTGCTGGCCGTTTCTGATTACCGGTAGGTCCAAACACATGATTCAGCCCGGTCGCCTTGCCTTTTCTTCTACGTCCTCCTACGTTCACCCAGCAAGGAATGCAGAAAGGGATCTCTAGAGAGAAGGGATCCCTTGCCTGACGTTCGGGTCCTAATACTGGTGCTATTTCGGTTGGTCAGGTCGTTGTGGTGGTGCTATTTTGGTCCTCAGTTTCTTTTAGAGGGTAGCCACTGACATGGTTGTTTTGTCCATCGGATTTGTGGGAATTGAGCCACTGACATGTTCTGAGTATCTTTCAGCCAGATGGGCCGTTTTTCCTTTCTTCCAGCTAGTTTGTTCCGACACGGCGGTTAGCCTGTCGCATGGTTGGGGGCTAGGCCTTCCAGACTGAAAAGGCTGCCGACACCCATGCAACGAATCATAATTTTGGGCCCAATCCGGATTGGAAAAAGAGGCTTGGATGGACTGCTGATTTAACCAGCCGCACCCTCAATTTTCATCTGAATATATATATCGGTGAAACTCCGACGAAACAGTTTGTCACAGACCCTCGTTTGTTGGCCTCTTCTCTCTCTCTGCCTACGGCTTACCGGGCAGTTCTGTTTGTGACGATATATATATGTATATTTTTCCCATGGATTAGGTATCCAACTGGCTGCCGGCATGCCGCATCGAAGTGCGGCCTCTTTGTGCACGAGTGCCCCCGATGCTTCCGAATTCGGGGAACTGGTAATGCTTTCAGCTCCAGAATTAGAAAGATAGTTGCCACTGGGCCTAGAGGCACAGCATGGCCGCGTAGTGAGGGGCCCGGCCACAGACGCTCAACCTGACCGGAGAAAACCGTAGCAGGGTGCTATGAACTCCGACGAAACAGTTTGTCACAGCCCCTAAGTGGGCCGTTATGGCACACGGGGATGCGCCGATGCGGGCAGCTTGCGATCGACTTCATGCACGTGGCGAGCCTTGTACGTGAGAGGCACAAAGAAGGGAGAGTTAAAAGAAGAATGAGAAAAATGAATGGTTTCAGTGTGTGCCCATCACCTTTGTGTTGATTGTTTTTAATCTTTACCGTTTGTTTCACAAAGTGCTCTTTTAGTTCATAGTTTTGTGACAATATATATACCGTCAAGGAGCATCTTCCACGCTCCATTGTTGGCTATGGTGGCCCCGACAAACCTTGCCAGTGAAGATCAGAAGAAGAAGAAGAAGAAGAAGGAGAAGAGGAAGAAGAAGAAGAGGATGAAGAAGAAGAGGAAGAAGAAGAAGAAAAGGAAACAGAGAATAGCGAGGCCAATCGCTAACAGTCTATGCATCACCATGTCAACCACATTGCTCCTGCAAAGGCATAGTGAAAGTCACAAATGTGCACCTTCCTGGACGCGTTGCGCATGAGGACTTATCAAGGGGATTCTGCAAATCCAAGTCCCACTATTCCGTCCTCCCTGAGAAAAGAAGAAGAAGAAGAAAAAAAAAGGAAGAGGAGGCGGAGAAGAAGGCAGAGGTGGAGGACAAGGAGGGGGAGGAGGAGGAGGAAGAATAGTGAGAAACAATGACAAACTGCTTTCCATGCATGGATTACAAGCTCTCCAAATCATTCTTTCTGCATGTACTCGTCTCAGTAACGTGCACATTCCCCTAGACGTTTCGGCCAGGTGGGCACACGGCGCGCCTCAGGGAGCTTCTTCCCACACCTGCCTTAGGGCACCACCTTCCTGCTGAAGAAGCAGAAGCAGAAGCAGAAGAAGAGTGACAAGCAGTGGCCAAAGCTGCAGATCGTACACGCTTTTCAATAACTAGCAGTCATTACAGTTCCGTATGTAGCACCCTCAGTAATGCACAAGAGTAGTAGTAGTAGTAGTAGTAGTAGTAGTAGTAGTAGGAGGAGGAGTTTGCTGGGGGTGACTGCAGGGGGTGACTGCAGGGGGAGTTTAGCAATGCAGGACTGGGAAGCAAAAGAACATAGCACTGCTTAGTCATGCAAACATCTCAGCTATTGCGGAAAGGAGGGGATTGTGAATAAGGCGTTGGACGAATATGAGGAAGAAAGATGGGACTAAGAGAATTAAGAAGAAAGATTCTTGCCGGCAAAGTAGGAGGGAAAAGAAGCAAGAAGAAGATTCTTGCCGGCAAAGAAGGAGAAGTAAAAAGAAACAAGAACCAAGGTAGGAGACAAAAGAGATTTATGAAATTCTGATGTTATGTTACATCGAGGAGACAGGACAGACAAAAGACAGATACATGAAAACCCTATCGTCTTTTCCTGAATAGAACATACAGTCATTACAGCTGTCTTTGGGGCCACTTTCAGTTTAGATACAGCGATAGTGACGGGGTGTTCTAGGCGGGTGAAAACCCTAGCCTCGTGAGGAATAAGCCGAGAAGGGATGTCCAGTAGGGAGAGTGGAAGGGGGGAAATAATGTAATGATGAGGTGGTTTCAGGACTATGATATGATTGGGCTTTTCTTGCGGGGGCGGGTGGGGGAGGAAGAGCACTCGTGTGTGTGTGTGTGTGTGTGTGTGTGTGTGTGTGTGTGTGTGTGTGTGTGAGAGAGAGAGAGAGAGAGAGAGAGAGAGAGAGAGAGAGAGAGAGAGAGAGAGAGAGAGGAATCTGGGGTGTTCTTTCCAGCAGTAAGCAGGGTGGCCGGTGATGTGGAGTGAACAGGTGACGAATCTATACGTTTTCTTTCCTCTTTTTTTCTTTCTTTGGAGGACGGCGACCTTCAGGTATTGTCATCAAACTGAGTGTTTGTCTCTCTGTCTGTGAGTGAATGCGAACGGTTTGATGAATTTTGATCTCAGTATGCTGTCTGGTTTACTGTTTGGTCTCTAGGCCTTCGGGAGAAGGAAGCAGGGCAAGCATATGTGTTTCATGACAGAGCTATCCAGATACAATGGGAAATGACTATGGAGTCCAGAAAGGTTCCCAAAGATTTAAGACTTGTTGGCTAGAAGGAAACAACAACTTGTTTAAACCCAGATCATTTTCAAGTTGCGTCATCTCAGTGGTTTTTGCCTGGAATGGAATGTGTTAAAGCTCCTCTTGTTGCGGTGACAAGGAGATGTGATCTTAACCACTGCTCAGCTGGAGCTGCACCTCCACCTTGTGGCTTTTCATTTTCTGACATTGACTGACCGTTACGTTCTCTGGCATAAACAGGGTTCGATCCTCTGACTTGGAGGAAGCTTGGACTAAAAGAAGGCGAGGGACTCCTCAGAATTTTGGTTTTCTGATGACATCAACTGTAAGTTACTGTTCTCTGACATAGAACAGTCACTGTTTTTGGATAGGGAATAGTCTGTGACGTCAACAGTGTGCAATAGATCCTCTGTCGGGCACCAAGTCCCTCTTGAGGCACAAAGAACTATTGCAGACGTTATCTTTCTTTTTTTTTTTTTTTTTTGAAAAGGTAGGGATCGAAGGGTTGGAATGGAGTAGAACTGTGCCTAGGAGTCCTGTGCCTTGTAGGAAGTCGCCAGGAAAGAGGGGGAGGGGGGGGGGGGCTTGTCCATCGCTTGGAAAGTTTTTTGTCGAGAGTTGGTTTCAGAAGTCAAACCTGAGGATTTTTAGCAGGCTACAGCGGATTTGTTAAGGCACTCTTTGAAGGTGTCATATGGAAGAGGCGGGTGGTGGCGAACCTCTTGGTATCCCGTCTTCCGCTATGCCGGCCGCAGGTTTACTGCAAGTGACTGAGCGGTCTGCAGATGGGAGCCCTGTGCTCAACACGGGTATTGGAGAAAGTCTGATGCACGTGCAGCCTGATGTTTCTATTGTTCTTGGTGATTCGGTTGTTGAGGAACCGGGAACACTATACATCACTACGAAGCGGATTATATGGTTCAGCGAGGCGGTCCCGGACCCAGTGAAGTCCTGCAAAGGCTATGCTGTGGATTTCCTGTCCTTGGGGATGCATGCCATCTCCAGAGACACAGAGGCCTTTGCGCGGCCATGCATATTCGCGCAGATTGAGAACGGCTCAATGTGTGAGGACTACCCTGACAATGATGAGCCGGATGAGGAGGAGGTAGTGGACGGCGTTGGATTACCTGAAGTAGATTTATCGAGAGTCTCCGAAATCCGTCTTGTCCCGGAGGACACGACCGTATTGGATAGGCTGTTTCAGGTTCTATGCGAGTGTGCAGCTTTGAATCCGGATCCCGATGGTCCGGAGGACGGGGAAGGAGATTTCTTTTACGATGACGAGGAGGTGAATGGCCACCTCACGGAAGAAGGAGCAGCTATGGTGGATCGCTTAGAGAGTCTCTTGCAGGTTCCTCCGCACATGCTTGGTGGTCGATATAATAATGATCAGGATGATCTTCAAAGATTTGAGGATGCTGATGGGGATACCGTAGACGATGAACATGACCGAATCTGGTCAAACTGAATATGCGAAAGAATTTTGAGATAGTTAGCAGAATAGAACTCCGTAAGAGATGGTGAGGAGGAGGTGTTGTGTCCGGCTCTGCCTCGGTGGAAGTACTTGACAGTTTGAATGGCTGCCAAGGGTACTTCTTTTTGGGCATCGGCAGAACCATCAAATTCCTTGTTGTGAGAGTGTGCGGACATGTGCCGGAGCAATCATCCTGGATTGTCTTCTTGCCTGCAACTTACACCACACCTTTGTTTTATGGGGGGTTTTGTGCTGTTCTCCCCCTTCTTCGAAAGCGAAAAAGTCTGTGATTCTTGTCAACCAATGTGATCTGTGCATATTTATTTCACGTGTGCTTTTCAAGAGTCACTTTCCAAGAGTCATGCGTGCTCATGGTGTATACCGGGTTGGTATTTATTTTGCTTTGCAAGTCTTGACTCTGCTTTGCTTTGCAAGTCTTGACTCTGCTTTTCAACCTATGGTGAAGCATGGATTACCTGACCAGTCAGATGAAGCATGGGTTACCTGATGAGTCAGATGAGGAGGAGGTGGTGGTGGAAGATGGATGATTACCTGAACGAGAGAGTGGATGTATGTGTGTGTGTGTGTGTG